TTAGAGAACTCTATCTATAGGCGATATGTATGGGAAAATTAAATACCCTATTATGTAGTTTTTCTCTTATAACCGGAAGTTGTCGTTTTTTTGTTTCCGGTGGGACCAACACATATCGTAACTGTGAAAAAGATACAATAATATGATGCAAGTCTTATTCCAAAAGAGAAAAGTTGAAATTTTTGATTTCTTTGATCACTTCCTGTGACGACCGGAAGTGACGACTGACGCTCTTTACCCAAATGGTTTTGTCTACTTCTCAAGGTCTAATACTCCTATAAGTTTGGTGTCTAAATCTCTTACTGTTTCTGAGATATCACTGGGACAAGTTCTCATTTTGTGGACACTTAAACGCGCGACCGGAAGTGAATTTTACAAAGATATTTGACGTTACTCTAGACATTTGCAGTCTTGATAACATATTTAAAAATCAGTTCAAATACATTGTCTATAAAAAATATTTATGGGAAAGTAAAATACTCAAATTATGCAGTATTTCGCTTATAGCCGGAAGTTGACGTTTTTGTTTCCGGTGGGACCAACATATTTCGAAACTACAAATAAGATGCAATAATGTGATGCAAAAAAAAATTCAAAAAAGAAAAGTTGAAATTTTCGATTTCTTTGATCACTTCCTGTGACAACCGGAAGTGACGGCTGACGCTCTTAACCCAAACGGATTTGCCTACTTCTCAAGATCTATTACTCATATAAGTTTGGTGTCTTAATATCTTACCGTTTCTGAGATATGACTCGGACAAAATATTTTGAAAAAAACGGAAATCGGACATATCTGACGACCGGAAGTGAATTTTGAAAAAATGAAAAAAACTCCTGGGGGTATTTTCATTTTCTATCATCCCTGAAAATTTCAAAAAAATCCGTCCAGCCATCTCTGAGAAATCGCCCCGAAAAGAAAAGGGGAAAAAAAAATAATAATAAAGAAGAAACAGTAGAATCACTATAAGGTCTTCCGTCTAAAGCGGAAGACCTTAAAAAAGAAGAAACAGTAGAATCACTATAAGGTCTTCCGTCTGAAACGGAAGACCTTAATTAATATTTATTTTTCAATGAATGATATTAATAACTTTTATTATATCATAAAGTGCAGGCATATTGTGATTGTATTGTGAGTTATGTATTTTTTTTTATTTTGTGTAGGGAAGGCATATTTACTTGCATCGACAGACTGTGTCAGTGCCATATATGTTGAAAAGGTATTTATATTTTATAAATATTCCATTTATTAATGTGTTTGCATTCTGTGCACAAATTCATCATTTAAGAAGAAGTATTTTGTTTTCATCATGTCATTGTCTGCCACTTTCTCCTCTTTCCCTTCATGTTTTCCATGAGATATAGTTAGAGAATCTATGATAAAAAGTTATTTTCTCAGTCTATTTACAGAATAATAATATTTTATATTAAGATATGGAAAATTATACTTATCGTTTGCAGTATATATGGTAAATATTATTCTAACAACAAATTGTGACTCACAAACATAATTTTAAACAGTGACATTCAGAACATATTCAACAAAGTACAAGGAAATTCAATAGCATTTCATTAAGAAATTTGTAAATTCCTTCAAATAGAAAAGGAACTAATTAATCCAAACAGCCTACACACCAAAGCTAAGCGCACTGTAAATGAAATTTAAAAACTTAGTAAATTTGCCAACAAGGAAAAGTATTTACAAAAATTAAAATCAGAATTCATTTTGCCATCTCTCAAAAGAAAAGAAATCGATAATGTTCAACAGAAAAATAAAACACAAGAGATTGATTCCGATTCCTGTGCTGGTTGTGACCAGCTGCGTACAGGTAATTATAAAAAGAAATTATCAAAAAAGGTCAGAAATACTAAAGTAAAAGTACTGAATCAAAAAATAAAAAAAGACACAAACTTACTATTCAAAGATTGCAGGCCACTATCAGCAGCCTCCAAGTTAAATTAAAAGAGAATATGTCTTCCAAAGATAAATTAGAAAAAAATACTAGTACATCTACTATTGGCACCCAGTGTAACACATCGAAATCATATATAGATGATCTGAAAGAAGAAATTGCAAATTTATATTCAAGTTAAGTTTGGAAGATCAGGCTTCTGAAGACTATGAAAAGCAGAATACATTACATTTAAGAAACCCCCAATGTAGAGGCAATCCCTATGATTTTAAATTGAGAAAAATATTGTATGAATTTAGAAGCCGGAATATTCCGGTCCAACACATAAATCTGATTATTAAAGAAGTTGATATGAACATAGAAGAGTTGCCACATCCATCAACAGCTGCAAAGCTAAGTAGTGAGCTAGGCATATTAAGTCGTAGTCATATTATTTCTGAAATAAAAAAATTTAGATAACGATTCATAGGGATGCTACTACCAAAAAAGGAAGGCATGATTATGGAGTGAAAATTTCTACAAGTGACAAAACTTTTACAGCTGGGTTGAGGGAGGTGATATATGGCAAAGCAGAAACTTATGTTAGTTGTGTTAAAGAAATTTTTACTGATGCTTGTCATGATTCTGAAATTGACAATTTTAATATAATTTCAAATGTTTCTAATTTTATGACAGATAGGAGTGCTACAGAACAAAAGCTCAATAATATATTGGAGGATGAAAAAAAGTGCATTTCCAACAATGATACTTTTATAAATTCTTTTAAATGCTCTGTACATCCACTTTTGCAATTTTCAGATGTTTGTGAAAAAGAGATTTGTAGATTAGAAAATGATTTTAAAATCAAATTTGATATAAATAAGAATGAGAGTGCAACCCTGTGTTTGTTGCGTTCCGTTTCAAAGTTGTTTTTTAAAGATGGATATGGTGACCCAGTACATGCTCCAACATATTTGAAAGCTAAATTGAATTTTTCAACGGTACCAATTATGAATTGTAGGGGAAACAGATTTAATACACTGTTTTTTAATGCAGCAGGAACATTTTATTTTCATAAGCAACTTTTACAGTACTTGAAAGGATCAAAGAGTTCTTTAAATTTTACTCAAAGTTATATTTTGTACAGCTCTTGCATAGAGCAGTATTTTATGTATTGTACGTGCATTAGGAATTCTGAATGTACTTTTTACCAAACCATATTGGAATTCTGCAGAAGTTTCGAATTCTGCAATTGAAATGGGGAGTGTCTACAAAAGAGTTGTCGACTTTCTTGACACGTGTCTCCAGAATCCTGATCTTCTTTTACATAATAAAATATCCTTGTTCTGTGGACCATATCTTTATCATGAGGCTTCCTCATATCTTTTTTTACCACATGCAAATGATGACGCTACGTCTCATGTTTTAGAGTGTCTCTGTGTTGATTTAAAAGATAAATGTGTCCAACTTTTTAGGGATTTTTTAATTGGTAGTAAATTTTATGATCCACCGAAAGATATTCTTTTAAACAGCCAATCATGTCCACCAAACAATATTAATGTAGAAAGACTTATGGCTAAATTAGATGACAGTCTTGTCAAAGCCTCTAACAACGATGTTAATACGATGGAAGGCATCATCATGTTCAAAAATAATAAAATTTCTGAATGGCTTAATTCAAAATCTCAAGAAGAACAGATTGCATTAATAACAAAAGCCAGGAAAAGAAATACAAAGGCTTTAAAAGAGTGAAGGAAAGAAAATCTGATTTATTCAAGAAACATCTACAACAAATAAGAGAGAGAGAAAAATGTATATTAATGAAAAACCAGAAGAGAGAAGAACAACTAAATTGTGCTATTGAAAAAAATAATTCTCATGGTCTATGGAGTGAAAGGAATCGGGTTCAAAAAGAATTAGAAAAACTTCCTACTAAAAAAGAAAAGTTGTCTGCCATGAAAGAACAAACTAATTTATTAAAAACTGTTTTTGTTGTAAATCCTTCAGACAAACATCTAACATCAATAAAAATAAAAAAAAAAATCATGACCTGGAAACTCTTACCACTAATTTCCTCACTTTAATGGAAAAAAACTATTACAAGAACTTCTGAGTCTGTGAAGGAGACAACCCTTAAACCTCTGGAAATGATAGGGAAACATTTTAAACACATGTGGACAGACCAGGGTCAGGACACCCTGTGGGAAGGAAAAATTGTTTCCTACAAGGATGGAATATTTAAAGTACATCTATATGAATATATTTTGTGTTTTTCCCACTTCCCATCTAATATTGTTCTTTAACAATATTATAAATTAAAGTATTCAGTTTTTTTTTGTATGGGGACCATAACAGCATCTTTTCTTGCATTCTTTTCTACAAAAAAGGTGCTTGCTGATTATAATACAATTATATTTTACATTAATTATTAATTAATTTAAGTATCTGTGATCAAAGTTTGTCTGGAATATGCATATTTTTAAATATGTATATACCTGTATGTCTGTTGTAAAGTAAACAGTACTATTAAAACAAAGTTTAGGACGTATTAGGTAGAAATGATCATCATGTCCATCTGTCTGATTGTATGAGCAGTTTCTTACATATGAACTATAAAATCATAATGGGAAAACATTACAAGCTCTTACTTGACATATAATAAAAAAGATTTATGTCAGTGGCTACTACCTTAACAGTACTTTCCAAGGTGAGCGAGTGGTTCATTGTCCTTTGTTAATGCATATTAATTAAATATAAAGCAATTAATGTTAAAACATTAAGTGTTGCACTAAATCACTGTCTTGTTCATGTGCACCTCAAATTTGCATTAACCATTCTGTGTGCTTATGTAGTGTAAATTTACTTTGTTTTCATTGATCATCATATTAAATTGAATTTCTGTTGTGCATTAAATTGTGCAAGTTTAAATGTGCCCCCCCCTCTCTCTCTCTATATATATATACAGGGTTATTTTCACCCTTTCACATTTTGCCCCGTTTTAAATTTGCCCACATGTTAGTAGGGTGAAAGGGGCGAAAATGAAAGGGGTGCAAAAATTTCCCTATATCCAGTATTCAAGTAAGCATTAATGATATATTCGACATTTTATAGGTAAAATATTGGGAAAATTGTGAATCCCTATCAGATCCAGAGGGTGAAGAGGACATCTATGAATTAACTGAACAAGAAATATTAGCTGATATAAAAGAAGGAAATCTTACCTTCACAGGTATTTATTACATTCAAAATGAAAACATTTCATTCTCAATAAGATAATAGAATGTGATCATATAATATTAACATTTTAATTTTCGTTTGTATAACTTGACTGCAATTTCTTCATCTTATATTTCTATTTCTTACAGACTCAGAAACCACAAAACCTTCATCAGTGCTGGATCATTCCTACTCATTACAAAATTAAGTATTGATTAAATTCCATAGAATTATGTTAGAAAACAAACTTGGAAAGTTTTTTTCTAAAAGATAAGAGCCGCCAATAGATCACAGAAGCTGTGTACCAGTTGTGCTGTCTGATAGTAAAGGCAACTGGCTGAAAAGGGTTGTATTACACAGTACCGAAAAAGAAATTATATGGTGGTCAAAAAGTGGTGCAAAGATAGAAGATAGCACAGAGTGGTTAAAAAGAAATATAACAGAAAAGGTAAAACGTCATGGCAACATATGGTTGTATGTTTGGTTAGGCACTTGTAACTTAACTTCTAAAAATAAACAGTACATGTATATATCTCTTACTTCTAATACTGGGGATGAAATTGATAAAATTATTTTGAAATGCAGAGAAATTATAGAATTTGTTAAGAATTATCCAGGCTGTAAAGTAACTATATTAGAAACTCCAGTGTATTCAATTAAAGAATCGAATAAATCAAGAGGACACAAAGACCCCAACCTTTTTGATATTGAAGATGAAAAATTAGGAGAACAAATTTATATGTTAAATAATAAAATAAGAGAAATGAATAAAAGTCAAGGAGTATACTCCCCCCACTTTTCTTCAGACTTAAGTGCCACTGATAAATATCGTTGTGGTAAAAATAGAAAACTTAAGACAAAAAAATACTATAATTTTAAACTTTATAAAGATAGTATTCATCTAGAGACTCTGTTAGCAAAGTGTTGGCTAAAAAAAAATTTTGAACAGGCAAAAAGAGATTGTTGGACATAAATTGAAGAATAAAATGCTTTTTGGGATAGTTAGTATGATAATTTATTAATGTTGCAGTGGTTGGGAAAAAAAACTGTATGACCCACTTACAGGTTATTTCAATTTTGTACGCACTAATTATTGTATAATTGATATGTATGTAATTGTATATTTTATTGATGGAAGAGACACTGCTCAAGAAATCTATACATGTGGCTTGCTTAACAGCATTTACTGATTGATAAATGATCATGGTTTTCATAAGAAATAAATTATGTAAGGATATTAAAGTAATATAGGTTTATAGAAAAGTCTTGCCATTTCATGATAAATACATATACGTTTGCTAAGTTGGTCATTATAGTCTGGAGCTATGCCGGGTGGGATTTTAATCCCTGGTACCGCCACGGAAGCCGGATCGGTTCAGACTAAACCAAAAGCTAAATAATTTTTTATTTCTTTATATTTTATTCATTATACATTACTTTAAATAAAAGATGGACTAGGGTCAAATATGCTTATGTGGCACAGTGGTTAGAGAGAAGGTCTTACTTCAATCTAGAGTCACACAGTAAGGAGTTCATCCTTACAATGCGGGTTCAGATCACTGTGGGACGTGAAGATAAGTCCTTTAAAGAAGATATTATAACCAACAACTAAAATCAAGAAGCATATTTTTTTCTATTACATAATTTTTTCATGAAATCTACTTTAAAGATGCCAATGTATAACTATGCAAAGATAGGGTGTTCCGTAATATCTGATACCCTCACAGTTTCTAAATCTTTTAAGGATGGATTATTGTAAGGTTTTTGATTTATTTTAATAAGTTCAATTTTTTCTGCATATTTATGTTTTCTATATTGAAATGTTAGGAATTCTGAAATCTCACAACTGCACATCGAATCATACACACGGTAAATTGACATCAATATAACAGGGATTGTATTTTTCTGGAAATATCAGTATATTAAAGAAAAATATCACAATTGCAAGTATGAATGGGATTGCTAGAATAATATGTAATTTATAAGGCTTACCTTTGCAAATATTTTTTTATAATGCTGCTCTAAACAATTGTAAAAATCCTTAGACCAAGTTTCTTTACTCTCAATTTCAAAAAAAAAAAAAAACATACTGAAGAGCATTAAGTCTCTCTCTCTCTCTCTCTTTCTTATTTAATGATGAATACTTCTTTGTTTTTCTATTATTGTTTGTGTAATACTTTAGGTATTTAATTTCACCACACATTAAAAAAATTTATTTTTAACATAGGGCATAGAAAAGTAAGCAACATGCCTATGAATAAAAGAATAAAACAGAAAGCAGACAATTTTGCATTGAGAGAAATGTATTTTGCTCTCCTGTCCTTCTAAAGATTTTAGCAATTTTTTTGTTTTTCATGCAAGAGAATTGTAGAAGTAAATGCTTTTTCCTGCAGTTTTTTTGTTTAGGTTATTCCCAATTTGAAATATTCATCTTATATCATAATTTTCTTTTGTCATTATCACCTATGCTTTGATATGGTTTAAAGCTTAATTTTCACAAATTTATTTTTACTTGGGATTTAATGTCACTTTCCTTAATTTATGGTTAAAGTTAACAAGTTAGGCACACAAATACTGCAATATTTAAATATTTTTTTTTGTCATTTTCTTGTAATGATAATGAATGTCCAAGTATATTTAAAGCAAAGAAAAATTGAACTTAACATTATAATTTTTATGGGGATAAGATATCTTTTCTATTTAAAATTTCTTCATGTCCTAATCCACAGTTATCTTTATTAAGGTGAAATTTCAAGCACTTTTGGCCTTTCTCATTAATAATATACACATATTTTGATCGTCATCGTCTTACGTCGCAACTAAAATGTTATGATATATATCAGTTAGTTTTTAATTTTAATTATCAATAATTGTAATTATTCTTCAATAGTATTTTCTGTTCAAACTTGCTCTAGATTAGTATCAGTGTAACTTAAAAATTCTTTGCATTACACAGCCTTCACCTCATTGAGATTGCTCTATGGAATGATCATATAATGTTACACAATATTTTACATTTTGCCTTCCTATTTTACACACAAATTGTCAATATAATGCAGCTATGAAAGCAGATAGAACATATATATCTTTCAAATGGTATCAGAATTCTTGGAACACCCTCTGTATGAAAAGTGCCCAACCAAACATACATCTATTACCGGGGCTTGGACACCATTACACAGAATCAAAGTTTATATTTGTCCAAAATTTGGTTATTATTAAAGTAATATGTTGCTTGAGCATTTCAAAGAAATTATAAAAGCATGTTATTAATAAACTTTTTTATTTGAAAATTACGAAAAGTGTGAATTTTTGGTCTATTTTGATTGCAATACATCTGGACTAAAATGTTGAAGTTAGTTCAATTCACTACACTGAACTTATTTTTTCAATGAAGAAAATTAAATTTAAAATGGTAAAAACAGCAGTGTAGCTGTGTCCAAGCTCCTTAGGTACTAACACTTAAATTTAAGATATTTAAGATATTCCTTCATATTGGAAAGGAATGGAACCTAGCTGTCTATAATTTATCATAAATACATGAATTATTTACTTAAACACACTTCAACACTACCTGAAGATACTCCTCGATGTTTCAAAGGAACTGTACCTGTGTATAATTTGTTAAAATGACATCTACCTGAAGATACTCCTCGATGTTTCAAAGGAACTGTACCTCTGTATAATACGTTATATATTACACCTACCTGAAGATACTCCTCGATGTTTCAAAGGAACTGTACCTCTGTATAATACGTTATATATTACACCTACCTGAAGATACTCCCCGATATTTCAAAGGAACTGTATCTGTGTATAATTTTTGTGATTTACATCTACCTGAAGACACTCCTCCATGTTTCAAAGGAACTGTACCTGTAAGTGCCTAAAATGAACCGCCTTCTTTTTTTCAGAAATATTATTATAATATTTGTATTTGTTAACATTTCTAATTTCTTACATTGGTCATTAGTCTGGAGCTGTACCGGCGGGGATTATAATCCCTGGTACTGCCACGGAAGCCGGATTGGTTCAAACTAGACCAAAAAGCTAATTATCTTTAAAAGCACTCCTAAGTTTCTTAAAAGAATAAGGAATATAGACGTCATCATTATATACAGAAGTGAAAAGAACAATTATTAAGAAGGGCACCACAAGGCGGAGCATCCCCTTGCAACTATAAATCAAGGCAGCATTCGACATGAATCCCGATGCAAATTACGTCAATTCGTTTTCGCTGAATTAACCCTCTCACCCACAAACAAACACACACGATTGTGTTGCTATATTCCCTCCAACTCCCTTGTATAATAGAATTAAGCATTAATAAAGAGAAGCTGTATCGATTTAAACTACAGTGTGTGGGAGAAAATATCCCACTGATCATTATCGGTGGGATTTATCCCATTTGTACAATTTTGTGGGAGAAAATATCCTAATGGGAAAAAATATCCCATCTGAGGTTTTTTCTCCCATGGGAGAATGGTGGGATACTACTTAGGACAAAAAACCCCACCATTCTCCCATGGGATTCTGATATTTAGGACTTAATATTTTTGAAAATAGATAAGCTTGTGAGTTCAACATGAGATTATGTGATACTGCTAAAAATCCCACCAAGTAATATTAAAGTTTCTTTGATATCGCAATTAGAAATGGTAGTAAAAAGTCCGGACTATGCCATGTCACACTGTTAATTTGATAAATCATTTTTACGGTACGGTAACCATTACTCACTAAAGGCTTTAAGAGAATTGAGGGATATTGCAGATGCTTAAGAAGAAAAGGTATTAAAGCCAACATATTTACATGGAACAGGGTCCCTATGTGCAGAAAGCACTAAAAGTCCTTATAAAGAACTTCACAGTTATTACTCATTTTGATCATATTAGAGGAAAAATTAGAAATGCTTAAGTCCACTAGAGGGCAATCCACACTAGCAAAAAGCTGAAGGACTACCAATTCCTGTACATGTCTTTCTTCCTACATGTACTAGATGTACTCAAAACCTTGAGTATGTTAAGTCTCAAAGTACAGAGAGACAGGACCACTCCGTCACAGTTTCTAGAATCAATCACTGTGTTGCATTCGTCTCTTATTGAATTAAAACAAACAAACGGAGAAGAGCAAAGGAAGTTTATTGAGGATGTTAACGAAGATTTATGTTGAATAATGAACTAATTTTTTTTTTCACAACAATTCTGTACA